TGTGTGTGTGTGTGTGTGTGTGTGTGTGTGTGTGTGTGTGTGTGTGTGTGTGGCGCCACAATGTGCCCGTGGAGTTCTGAAAACAACTCTGAGGAGTCTTCTGCCACCTAGTGGGGTCCAGCAATCACACTCAGGTCATCAGTACTTTAACCCGCTAAGGCTCCCTGCCTGCCTGACACAGATTTTTAAAGAGATTTATTTTATTTATGTGTCTGTGAGCTTGTGTGGGTGCAGGTGCCTTTGGAGGTCAGAGAAGGGTGTGAAGCTTTCTGGAGGTGGAGTTACAGGCAACAGCAAGCTGCCATATGGGAGTGGGAACTGAACTTGGGTTCTCTGAAAGAGCAGTATTACCCTCTTGATCATTAAGCCACCTCTCAGCTCCCAACACGGGTTTTTAAAACATGCATGAAACTTCATCATAAAACAGCTAGGGTAGCAGAATCAAATCTCATGAACTGCATTGATTACAAAAAACAAAAAAAGCCTAGAGAGATGACCCATCCATTAAGATCTCTATCAGAGGATCAAAGTGTGGATCCCGGCACACCAGGCAACTCAGGCAGGTGTAACTCAGCTCCAAGACCACCACTGTGGGCACACACACAAACAAACTAAAAATAAATTTCGAAATTAAAGTGACAAGATGTCATCAGGTCTAGACCCCATAAACAATTTTTTTTTTCTTAACCCCAGGTTAGCCTTGAACTTGCTATGTGGCCCCATCTCACAGTAATCTAATCCTGCTGCTTCAGCCATTCAAGATCTGAGATTAGAGGCATAAGTCATCATAGCCAGTTCATCTCAAGAACTGTTGTTTGTTGTCAGTTATCTTTGATCTTCCTGCCGTTCCCTCAACATAGGCACGCAGGAATCACTGACGCACACCACTGCATCTGGCCTTTTATCTAAGTTGTGGGAACTGTCACAGATTGACAGGTTTGCTCAACAGGCACCTTTCCTCACTGAGCCATCTCCCCAGCTCTCTGGTCCCAGAACTCTCAGGTTGACTGCTGTCTGAGGGAGAGCCCCAGAGCAAAAAGAATAAAAACTCAGAACAAGGACAGCAGAGCCCAGCGAAGAGGTCTGGGTAAGAGGGGACCTAACGCAGATGAACTGGTGAGTAACTGGTTATGAGTTTTGAAATATTACTGAAAGACAACAGCAGGGGTCACTGAGACACTAGGAAACTATCTTGAGCCATCATCTTCTAGAACCTTGGGAAAGCAGCTTTCTTCCAAAAGAAATAAGTAACAGAAGGCTGTAGTACTTCCTTGTCGGAGCGCCAGCGGGCAAATATTGATGTGGAAACTTATTAGTAATTATGAAAGCTTAGCCTTTAACTTATGCTTGTTTTCAACTAGCTCTTATAACTTTTTAAAATTTTATTTATTTATTATGTGTACAACATTCTGCTTCCATGTATATCTGCACACCAGAAGAGGGCACCAGATCTCATAACGGATAGTTGTGAGCCACCATGTGGTTGCTGGGAATTGAACTCAGAACCTCTGGAAGCAGGTAGTGCTCTTAACCTCTGAGCCATCTCTCCAGCCCCAGCTCTTGTTATAATGTTAATTAACCCATATTTTAAAATCCAAGCTTTGCCATGTGGCTCATTACCTCATCTCTTACTGGCAAATCCCATTTGCCTAGACTCCTTCTCCTCTCTCTCTCCTAGGAAATCCCGCCTATCTGCTCCTGCCATTCAGCTCTTAGTAAGCCAATCACAGTGCTACATCTTCACACAGTCTACAAACATCCCACAACAGTAGGCGCTGAAGAGAAATTCCTACACAAGGTTATTGAGGGCTGGGGAAGTAGCTCAGGTGTTCAGGAAGCCTTGGCTTTAAACCCAGCACTGCACGAACCCGGTGTGGTGGCCCACGCCAGCAATTACAGCACTTGGGAAGTGAACAGGAAGATCAGTCGCAGGCCCGCTAGAACTGGAGGAGGCCCTGTGTCAAAGAAAGCAAAAGGCTGGAGAGTGGCCCAGTGGTTAAGAGCACTGGCCTTCTAGAAGAACCAGGGTGGAATCCCAGCACACAGAGCCGCTCACAACCATCTGCAGCACAAGTTCCCTGGAGATCTAACTCTATTCTGGCCTCGTTGGGCACTGCACACATATGGTGCACAGACAAACACCCAAATACATAACACAAAAATAAAGTAGTAAAACAAAAAACAAAGTTGGTGTGGCCATGCACAACTTTAATCCCAGCAGTTGGGAGACATAAGCAGGTGGATCTCTGTGAGTTTTGAGGCCAGTCTGGTCTACTTAGTGAGTTCCAGGACAGCAAGGGCTACAGAGTGAAAACCTGTCTCAAACAATAAGTAAATAAAATAAAATAAATAAATAAAAAGTGGGCAGTGCTTGAGGAATCACATTGAAGACTCCTCTAGCTTCTATTTGCATAGACATCTACACACATATACACACCACACCCACACACCACATACACACAACACACATACACACATATACACATATACCACAAACACATACACCCCCCCACACACATAGCACACACACACACACACACACACACACACACCACACAGACACACCACATACACATACCACACACACACACACACACACACTGAAGACCAATTGCCTTAAAATGATTCATTCAGTTAATGGTTTGTTTGGAGAGATTTTCTGCATGTGTTTTATTTTCCATTTCAAAAGTTGTTTTTTTGTTTTTGTTTTCATTTTTTTCTTAAAGTTTTATTTATTTACTATTCTTTCCCCCAACACAACACAACATCTGACTTTCATTTTGAAGTTAAGATATTTTTAAATATATAGGTTGGTTTAATTTAGTGATTTCTGTAATTCAATGTCTCTCAGCAGCTATTGCTTTTTTGTACATTATTATTTTAAAATTTCAAAGTTAACAAGAAACAACATAGGATCCAGATTCCTTATGTATTTTCCATCCTTATGTGGCTATTTTTAATTACTTTATTCTCTCTTTAAAGACTTTATAATTTTAGAAGTACTTACAATTTTTAACATTTATTTTTATTACATACTTATTGGCATTTTGCCTGCATATATGTCTGTGTGAGGGTGTGGTATCCACTGGCACTGGGGTTAAAGTCAATTGTGAGCTGCCATGTGAGTACTGAACCTGGGTCCTCTGGAAGAGCAGTCAGTGCTTTTAACCTCTGAGCAATCTCTCCAGTCCTGACTTTATTTATTTATTGATTGATTTTTGTTTTTTCGAGACATGGTTTCTCTGTGTAGCCCTGGCTGTCCTGGCACTTGCTCTTGTAGACCAGACTAGTCTCGAACTCACAGAGATCCGCCTGCCTCTGTCTCCCAAGTGCTGGGATTAAGGGCATGTGCCACCACTGCCCAGCTCTAACTTTATTATTTTTAAAATGTTTACTTCTGATTGTCTATACCCATTTTTTCTTAAGCTTATGCACACTATTAAACACACTGTAACCTATTTAGAGTTTTTTTTTTTTTTTTTTGGTTGCTTACAGGTGCATGAGTGAGGGGTTACTTACAGGTGCATGGGCACATTACATGGTTACACCACTGAGGGTGGGAATCTCTTCCTCCCCCTGTGTCTGACCTACTTTTCTTTCCTTTCTCCTTCCTTCCTTCTTTCCTTCTCCTCTTCCTCTTCCTCCTCCTCCTCCTCCTCCTCCTCTTCTTCTTCTGGTTTTGTTTTGCTTTTTTTTTTTTTTTGAAACAGGGAAACAGGGTTTCTCTGTGTAACAGCCCTGGCTGTCCTGGAGTTCATTTTGTAGACCAGGCTGGCCTTGAACTCACAGAGATCCACCTACTGAGTTACTTTTCTATTGCTGTGAAGAGACACATGGTCAAGGCAATTTATAAGAGAAAATGTTTATTGGGACTCATGTCTCAGAATTTTGTTGCTGTTGTTGTTTGTTTTTAGAGACAAGGTTTCCCTGTGTAGCCTGGCTGTCCTGGGACTCTCTATATAGACCAGGCTGACCTCAAACTCATAGAGATCTGCTTGACTCCCACATACTGGGATTAAAGGCATGGGCCACCACTGCCTGGCAGATTGTTAGAGTCTATAACCATCATGTTGGGGAGTGTGGCAACAGGCAGGCATGGCACTGGGGCAATAAATGAGAGCTTACATTTGATCTTAACACCTCCCAACTTTAAAAAAAAGAAAAGAAAAAATGGGGTGCGGTACTGTACTTTTAGCACCACTTCCCCTTTTAATCCAGGATCTCTCAGTTGTTCAGGTTATCTTGGATTCATAATGTGGTCCAGAATGGTCTCACACTGGAGGCAATACTTATGCCCAGCCCTCTGAGTGCTTGGATCATGAGATGAGCCTGTTTGCTCAAGCAGTCTCTCTCTCTCTCTCTCTCTCTCTCTCTCTCTCTCTCTCTCTCCCTCTCTCCCCCTCTCTCCCCCTATCCCCTCTCTCTCCCCGCCTTCCTCCCTCTCTCCCTCCCTCTCTCGCACCACATAAGTGCCCGGTGCCCCTAAGCCCCAGAAGAGAGCATTGAAGTTACAGATGGTTTTGAGCCATCATGTGGATGCTGAGATTCGAATCCAAGAACCATCTCTCCAGTTTGGTTTGTATCTTTTCTACCTTTACCGACTGTAATGCGGTAAATCACTGTATCTCAAGTGTCTGTAAAATGGGTTGATAATGCCTGGTACATGGGTCTGCTTTCAGAAGGAAGGCTGTAAAGAGAACTTGAGTTCAATGATTCTTCAAGCCAAGTTTTGGATACTGATCCACACAGGACATGCTTATCCCACACAGTCTGCTCCTCTTAAACTGTCAGAATCCTCAGATCTAGTCACCCCTACGGCAGTGGGACACAGGGACGCGACGTTGTACATTTCTAGCTGTCAGTCTCAGCAGTAAGTCTGGACCAGGACTCCTCAGACGACCTCATCAACACGGAACCTGGCCCCCATCGTACCTGGAAGTTCCTGGCAGGAAGAAGAGAGGTGTAACAACAGGACCACTTCCGTTTCCGGTGACACAAGCGCTTTCATTTTTTCGGCTGTGGAGACTAAGATGGAGGCGTTGTGGGAGTCACGGGCTGGCCACTGGGCCGGGGGGCCGGCTCCGGGGCAGTTTTACCGCGTCCCGTCCACTCCCTGCGCCCTCATGGACCCGGCGTCCGCGCTCTGCGAGGGTCCAATCACCCGGACCCAGTGAGTTGCGCTTTCACCGCGCCAGGAGTGGGCGGCGGGCCGGGACTTGAGGACCGGGCGCGAAGGCGGCAGCTCCCGGAGCCCCGGCCGCTGCGCTGCGCTGCGCTCAAAGACTCTCTTCGTTCTTCAGGAACCCCATGGTGACTGGGACGTCGGTACTCGGGGTGAAGTTCGACTGCGGAGTGGTTATTGCTGCAGACATGCTGGGCTCCTACGGCTCCCTGGCTCGTTTCCGCAATATCTCTCGTATTATGCGAGTCAACGACAGCACTATGCTGGGCGCTTCGGGAGACTACGCCGACTTCCAGTATTTGAAGCAAGTTCTCGGCCAGATGGTGTAAGTCGCCTCCGAGCGGAGCGGAGAACCCCCCGTTTTTGTTGCCTTAGGTGGAATGGGGGGACTTGAGGCTTTGTGGAATTGGTGAGAGAGAGAGAGAGAGAGAGAGAGAGAGAGAGCGGGAGAGAGTGTGTGTGTGTGTGTGTGTGTGTGTGTGTGTGTGTAGGGTGGGGAACCTGACTTCCGTTATCATTACTTTCTCAACCAATTGTTTTTAAGGATTGATGAAGAGCTGTTGGGTGATGGACACAGCTATAGCCCTAGAGCTATTCATTCATGGTTGACAAGGGCCATGTACAGCCGACGCTCCAAGATGAATCCTCTGTGGAACACCATGGTCATTGGAGGCTATGCTGATGGAGAAAGGTATTTGATAACTTTCTTGACCACCTGACCTGGCACCTACTAAATGTGTCTCCAGTTCCTTTTTGGTATTTTGAGACAGATTCTCCGTGTAACAGCTCTGGCTGCCCTGGAACTCTCTCTGTAGACCAGGCTGGCCTCTTAGCCCCAGAGAAGTTCCAGTTTTCAGCCAAGAAATAGAAGATTAAGTGAGTTCTTTGATCTGTTTGTCCCTCTAGCTTCCTTGGTTATGTGGACATGCTTGGTGTAGCTTATGAAGCCCCTTCACTAGCCACTGGCTATGGCGCATACTTGGCTCAGGTAAGTAGTGGGCCTGGCAGTGGGGAAAAGAGATGAGAGACTGGGACCCTGATGTTGGGATCTGGTTTTCTTTGTGTGGAAAGAGTGTGTGGACATGACCTTCTGGTGACAAGATGTGGTCACAGGGAATAAGCCTTATTGCAGGGTGGAAGCCCTATGACTTCCCCTTTAATAGGATCTGAGCTGGGCGTGGTGGTACACATCTGTAATCCTAGTGCGCAGGAGACTGGGGCCAGGAGGACTATTCCAGACCACCTTGGGCTGCACAGGAAGACTCCATCTCAAAATCACAACAAAAATGGCTCATGGGTAAAGGCCACGGCTGATAGCTAGCCCAGGATCCCAATGGTGGAGAGGAACCACTGGGAGCTTTTTTCTGACTTCAAATTGCATATGCATACTTATGTACAAAATAAGTATCTGTCCAATGAAACAAAAAAGCCAGCAGTTAATTCTATTGCAACAGTGGGTAGAAGTCTATTCACTTTGTTGATTGTTTACATGGGTTGGAGCAGGTTGCCAGTGTCTAATTTCTCCCATGTCTTGCCCACCTTTTTAGCCTCTGCTTCGAGAAGTTCTAGAGAAACAACCAGTGTTGAGTCAGACTGAGGCCCGAGAGCTTGTAGAACGCTGCATGCGAGTGCTGTACTACCGAGATGCCCGTTCATACAATCGGGTGAGAAATGGGCAGAAAAATACAAATTCTGGGGCCAGGCATATTAATGAACACCTTTAATCTCAACATTCAGGAGGCAGAGGCAGGCAGAACTCTGTGAGGCCAAATTGGTCTACAGAGAGAATTGCAGCACAGCCCAGGGCTACATAGTGAGACCCTGTCTTAAAAACTAAACTGTAAATTCTGGGACCTAGATTTGACCTGTCCAAAACCAGGTATTTTCATTGCATGTTTTGTTTTCTTTCAGTTTCAAATTGCCACTGTAACTGAAAAAGGTGTCGAGATAGAAGGGCCACTGTCAGCAGAGACCAACTGGGATATTGCCCACATGATCAGGTAATTTAAAAGTTACAGTAGGAGAAAAGGTGGGGGAAGAGTTGGAAAGACTTTGGCTTGCACAAAGCTGGGACCTTCTGGAGAGCTGATTCCCAGGGGATGGTTCTCGGGGTAGAGCTCCTTCAGAAGCTGACTCCTTGTACTTCACCTTTTTCCAATGTTCTTTCCTTTTAGTGGCTTTGAATGAGATACAGATGAACTGCCCGCAGTTGAAGCTGTTCCCTTCTATGCTTGAATTAGCTGGCTCAAAGGTAGACTTTTATAAAATAAATCAGCCCTTTGAAATGTTTGGTTAGTTGTTTATTTTGAAATTGGATCTCACTGTGTAGCCCAGGCTGGCATGGAACCCAGAAATCTGCCTGCCTCTGCCTTCCGAATGCTGGAGTTAAAAGCTTGTGCCACCACACCTGGTTATTCCGTGTTTTTATTCTAAGGTCACACCAAGAACTCAACTGCTGCTGTGTTCCATCCTGTGCTGTTTTCTTTCCTGGACAGAGCCATTTAGCTCCTATGTGCGTGTCCAGAGGTTGACGTCAGAAATCTTCCTCAGTCACCCTCCACCTTAATTTTTTTGGAGATAATTCTAACGAACCTGAGCTTACCAATGCAGCCAGGCTGACCAGCCAAGGCCCCAGGGAGCCTGTCTCATCCTAAGGCTGGCATTTTACATGTGTGTACATAGCACATGGGCACTCAACGCTTGCGTGGCAAGCACTTGAGTGAGCCATTTCCCCCTAGTCGCCTCACTGTGACTGAGGTTGACCTCAGCTCAGGTCAGACCTTTCTGCCTCAACCTCCCAAGTGAAGGATTATAGGCAAGCAGTGTTGATGGGGACATTTAGGCTCTTTGAGCAAGTACAGGAGTCTGCATGACAATAGAGAAGACCCCAGGTAGTATTCGATTGGGATAGTCTCACACACTCACTCACTCACACTGGAGGGTGGTGAATGATGGCTGCAAACCTGACTGTTCAAAATGCAATTTCACAGGCAGAGCTACTAAGGTGGTGCTCACTCCCTAAGCCACCACATGTAGCCACACATTCAACTAACATTGTCTATAATTCTAGCACCTGGTACTTGGAAGGAGCATTTGTGTTCATTAAAAGATCCTAAATGGGGGGCTGGAGAGGTGACTCAGCTCAAGAGCAGATGCTACTACTCTTGCAGAAGACCTGACCTGAGTTTGATTACCAGCACCCATGGATGTGTTCCATAACTGCCTCTAAAACTCCAGCTCCAAGGGCTAGCGGATGACTGCTCCACCTGAGCACCTGCACATATCATATATACACATAATAAAATCACTTAAAAAAATTACTAAGTGGCTGGGCATTGGTGGCTAATGCCTTTAATCCCAGCACTCGGGAGGCAGAGGCAAGCCTGGTCTCCAGAGCGAGTGCCAGGATAGGCTCCAAAGCTACACAGAGAAACCCTGTCTCCAAAAACAAATAAAACAATTTTTAGCCGGGCAGTGGTGGCGCATGCCTTTAATCTCAGCACTCGGGAGGCAGAGGCAGGTGGATCTCTGTGAGTTCGAGACTAGCCTGGTCTACAAGAGCTAGTTCCAGGACAGCCTCCAAAGCCACAGAGAAACCCTGTCTCGAAAAACCAAAAAAAAAAAATTTTTTTTACTAAGTGTGGCTGGGTAGATAGCTCAAGTGCTAAAGCATCTGCTGTGCTAGTGTGAAGACTTGAGTCCTCAGAGCCTGTGCAAAGTTGGATAAAGAAGGTCAAATCCCAGGTCCTACAGGGAGATGGGGGGCAGATGCAGGAGAGGCCAGGCACAGGAAGCAGAAAAAACTGTCTCAAATAGGGTGGAGAGTAAAGACACCCAAAGTTGTCATCAGACACCACACCAGTGCTTTTCATAGGAGTACACACACACACACACACACACACACACACACACACACACAGACACACACAGACACACAGTCCTAGGACATATAGGCCTGAAGATCCCCAGATCCCACAAGACAGCAGGAGCTCAAGAGTTGTCCTGACTACTGTGTGCATGTTGTAATAGCATGTGATACCTACATTCAATGCATAAAAATATTCTAAGTGTAGCTGTTAAGGTTGGAAATTAGCTATGGTCTATTTCTGGGGTGGTTTTGAAACTTTATCTTTAAAAATTAGAATAGTAAGTAGGTTTTTCTAATGATGCTGATGCTCTCTGAGAATGATATAGACAGCAGCAGACAGGTTCACATAAAGAAAATCCTGAGCCTTCAATTGGGAATTTTGACATACTTGATCTCAACACAGAAAGTTGTCAATAAATACATGTTTATTGGTTAAACTGAATTATAAAAAACAAAAAAAAAACTTCCTTCTACTACTAAGCCATGCAGGCAGAGTCCACAAAGACAACTTGCTTGCCAAAACCCAGCTGATCCACTGTTACTATTATCTTAAAAAAATGACCCATCCAAAGTCAATGTGCAGAGGCCAGGAACCCAGCTCTGCTAAGGCTGTGGCTGCTGCAGGGACGACCAAAGAGGATTAGGTTTGGACTGAAGTGACCACTTAAGAGTTAGTTCTCCAGCTTTCTCAAAGGCAGAAGGTCGGCTCTGATGTACAGTCCATCAGTAAAATAGCATTAGAGCAAAAAGCTGGGGCAGAGAAGCCCAGGTGGATCCTCGTTCAGATCTCCAACGCCATGGGTTCAGAGCTGGCCAAACTTCTGGGATCCATCCTGTTCACTACGCCATAGTGTGCTGGGAGTTAAAACAAAAACTGCAGGGAGAGGGAGAGGAACCGGAACCGGTGGTCACAAATACCACACATTTACCCTCACATCGTGGATCTCTCCCAGTCTATGAAAGTCTATTAAACAGGGACGCATAGAAAAAGGTTTATAAATCCATTTCCTCTCATTTTATTAAATGTTCCACTTATGTACACTTTAAAGATGAACCACTTACAAGCTTGTGCAGGTTGCCTCCTTGGCTCACAGGAGGGAACATTGCCGAAAGCCTCAGGATGTACAATGGTGTGGCTGTGGGAAAGGTAGACTTGTTTTTTTGTTGTTGTTCTTTTTTCCTCTATGGTATAGTACATTTTGGTTTATCACCATGAGTACATCATTTTCTTAAAAAAAGAAAAAAAAAAAAAAAAAAGAATCCCTCATGCAAATTGTAGAAAAATTTTCCTTGAAGTTGGCAGTGAAAAATAAAGATTTGTGTCTTTCTCTGTGCACACCTCTATGCTTTTTTTTTTTGTATCAGTTTCTTCTCTAAACATTGAGAGAAACAGGAAAGCCACGGGTTAGCAGGAGTTCAAGTGGTCTGTGTCTTGTTGAGTTCTTTGACACTTAACATATGCTGCCAGTTAGTACCTGTGATGTCTTGAGCAGGTGTGCTGTCCGAAGGTGCTTAACAGGACAAAGTTCAACAAGGCAGGGATTACGCTGGGGGCTCGCTGATGGAAGACAGAGACTAGGGATGGCTTCCACCTGAATACTGTTTGATCACCTCACTCAGGAACTCTTGCTTGCTAGGGACACATGTGCTCCTTTGTCCAGAGTAAAAGATGGCGTGAAAATCAAGAAAGGGGTCAAGGGTCACAAGTGCAAAAAATATTGTTTCTGTTGTGTTTTGGTAGAGGGTGGTGAAGAAGGAAAAATCTATCCATTCTGGATGATTCAAGTGGGTTTCATGCATTTTTAAAGCCACAATTTTATATCTAGAGTTGCTGTAGAAACCAACACCTCTAGAGAGGGAGGGGAAGGGAAGAGAAGGAAAGAGTTCAGTGGGATTCTTTTTTCATTTTCATTTTTTATATAAAAGTGTTAAGACCACAATGAAAAAGATTTATCCACATATGTAATAAACCAGTTTGTGAGCTACATATTTCTTTCCCATCTGCAGAAAAGTTCTCACATTAACAATGATTAGATAGTATCATGCCCAAAGACATTGGCCACACAGTAAAACAAACAAAACCCAGAGATACTATGATACAATTGAGGTAAAAGGGGAAACAACAAAAACAATTTAATATCTGTCCACAAAGGATTGTTTTCCTAGATTTTTGTCAGAAAAATAGCAAACACAGTGATTTAAATTAAAGAAGAAGGGGGGAAAAGTCACAAAAAACTGTTTTTAGCAGAAGTGAGTAACCAATGGACCAGCTCCTCGGCTCAGAAGTGATCACTACTGGCTTTCCTAATAACCCACCAATTCACAGAAGTGTCAATGTCAGGGGAATAGTGGCATAAAATTAAAAATATAACCAAGTACCCCCACTGGTTACTCCCCTTTCTCTAAGCCCTCTACCCTCCTCAGCTTTCCCACCCAACTCCATATGCTCTCATAGCCTCAGCACCTAGATCTCCATCAGATCTAGGTCAGCTTCCTCAAAGCCATAGAAGGACTCCGTCTCACTTTCCCCTTCAAAGAGCTGGTGCAGGCTTTCAGGCTCAACTGTCTCTTCAGGAGAGGATCTGGGTCGGGGGGTAGAAGCCGAGGGTTCCTCAGACCGATCTCCACTCAGCTTCAGCTGCTCCTCTAGGGAGGAAATGAGCTCCTCCTGCATGTCAGCATTGCGTGTAGGTGAGTTAATGTTGCCATCAGGACCTGGCAGAACACTAGCCACAAGGAAGGACCGCTGAACTAGCTCTGGGGAGCCCCCAATGACACCCAGCACCTCACTCAGCCAGGCCAGCACCAGCTGAAGCAGGACATCAGAATCACACGCAGTATCTGCCATTTCCCGAGCCTGCTCCTTCCACTTTTTGTGCAAGAAGTTCTTAACAGTTCGTTTGATGCATACATCTAATGGCTGGATTTTAGAGCTACAGCCTGCAGGGACCACTGCAGGCAAAGTGCTAGAGGCACTAAGCAGGGCCAGTACCTCTTCTGACAAGTGAGTGCGATGACAGTCCATCACCAGCATGCCTTTGCTGTTCTGACAAGCTGTGTGCTTCTTCCACACACGGGTTGACCAAAGCTCCATGATCTCATCATCACTGTAGCCACTCTCTTTGGCCTCTAGCAATATAGAGTCTGGCACATTAGCAAGCCGATTCATTTGTCCTCGGTAGAAAACCAGGGTGGGGAGGACAGTGCCATCTGCCAGGATAGCCAGTACTACATCACACCAAGGTTCCCCTGTGCCCACTGTCTGCAAAGCATTCTCCTTCCGGTCATCACTGCTCAGTACTTCTGTGTCCAGGAACAAAGAGACCTCATCAATTGCCACAATCATAGACAAAGGTAAGTCCTGATTGTGAATCTGCCGCTGAACAAACTCAATGAAGAGTCCTGCATTTTCTGCTACATCCTTCGGTAATGTGTGGGCTACAGCTCGCCGGGCATGAGGAGTGAGGTGGTGCCGCAGCATGAAACGTACAGCCCACTCATAAGATATCTTAAAACCCCCCTCCAAAGAGCGTCCTATTTTGGTGGCCTTCTGAAACAAGGTCTCCTCATTTACAGGTAGCTGTTGCTCTCGCTGGATCAGCACCCACTCAGCCAGTTTCTCTTCTGCCTCAAAGCTGAGATATTTGCCCTCTAAATTCTCTCCCTGAGAGGCCTGGAAGCGTCGAAGCCAACGACGGATTCGACGCTGGGGGTTTCGGAAGTGTTCAGCTGCCAGCTCTGTGTTGCAGCACAGGGCAAACAGTACTACCCGAAGCTTCTTCACAGACAGCTGCTCTTTCTTGCCAACCCCACTGCTGCCTCCACCACCGGATGCTGGTTCAGGTTCCTGGGTGACGGGGCTTCTTCCCTCACCCTGTTCACCGATGTTCAGACATTCAGCCCCCTCTGTGGCCAAGGGTGGTAGGGATAAGGGCTGTGGATGAGTAGGGGTTGCTGGTGGGGTTGCAGTTGAGGCTGGTGATGGAAGTGCCTGGGCCACAGGAACTGCGAGCTCTTGAGGCTCTACTGGGGTGGCTCCTACAGGTTTCACAGTGGCAGCTTTGTTAGGGAGGAAGGGAGGTGGAAGATACACATTCTTCAAGCTCCGGTCATACACTCGTTCAGAAGTCTGGCCAGACCTAAGTGAGTGGAGATGGGGAGCGGAGAGCAAAAACATTGGTTAAACTTAGGAATTTAAATAACAGTGTTAGTAAGAGCAAACATTATGCAAAGTACACATTAAATCATGAAATGAATGTTACCTTGAGTGAGACATCCAACTGAGCCCTGGGAAAATGAGATAAAAAAAAAAGTTAGATCAAGGGGAAAAAACCCCAACTTTCCATAGATAATACCTTGAGATTTCAACACACTACCCACTAACAGACAATTCACGGGCAACCTTTCCAATCTTATCTACCTTCAGGTCTAAGTGTAGTGTGAGTCTAAATAGTGAATGGGTAAGGCCAGAGAAAGATGCTCCTGGCTCATAGAATATGACATCCCTTCTCCCATCACAGTTTCTCCCACTTACCCCTGGGTAAGATGCTGCTAGATCTGTGGGAGGGGTTGAACACCAAATGCTTGGCCATGGCATCTCCCACAGAGGTAGCAAAGGTACATGAAGTGCAGGCCAGCTTGATCCCACTGAGAAAGAAAGAAAAAGAGAGAGAACAAAAGGACCAAGAAAATATTAGATACATATGACAATGACATTAAACAGTTAAACTTTGAGGCTTAAATATCGGAGTGATGCACATAACCACTCCACAAAATAAAGACATAATATTAACAAGTTAAAGAATTAAAATACCAAGAAGTGTTTTATTACCTTACAGAATTTTTAAACAAAGCCAAATACTTGGGGCTCTTCCGTGGAACATGATTGCTGAGAAAGACAAAGAAGCAGAGTTACCAGCCAATGACAATGTCCAACCAAAGAGATGCCTTCTCAATCCAGACCAGTTTGACCATCAGCTTCTCAAACTTCAATATAAACACAAAATAACCTGAGAAACAATTACAATTCACTTTTCATTCAGGTCTAGGATGGGGCTAAGAATTAGCATTTCTAACAAGTTCTCATCCAATGCCTGAACTGCGCTTTCAGTAGCAAGACCCTAGGAGGTTATTTGGAGCACAGATTAACACAGCCAAATGAATATGGGCTTGCTCCTGTATCTTCCTAGAAAAGATGGACAAACGGCTTTAGGAGCTGAAGAAAGAAACAAAATGGAAACAGGAGGCAATGAACCAGAATGAACTAGAAGTCCGGGTTTGCTCTCCACTTACTTGATCATGTGATTGGCATAAGCTCGAGAGCAGCAGGTGCTGTAGCGACAAAGAGAACAATGCACATAGGTCGGGAAATGATTAGGGAAATCCGGGATCTCAAAGCTGCACTCCAGACATGTCTGCCGGCCCATGACACTCCTGTCAGAAAGAAAAATTTCATTACTGCCACTGACCCTGCCGCAGACTGTATCTGATTTCCTTGGCTATTAGAAAATACCCTGCCCACACAGTTCCCACCCTCCTAGCATTTATAAGGAAGCACTGACATTTTCCTCACAGCTCTCTTCTGCATGTTGCGTTGGACAGGGGGATAAAGGAAGACAGGCAACGGGTCGGTGGAGGAGGTCAGTGGCACTGCCTCCTGCAAGGCGCTAGAAGACGTATCATTTGAAGACACAGGAACAGTTCGTGGCTGCCCCCGAGAAGCCCGGATTGTCACCTGAGAATCAAAGGAGGAACAATTAGACAGCACTCACAGTAAACCTCAGGGTGCTGTCTACATGTACTCTTACCCTCCCCGGCTCTGGAAAAGCACCTTCCGGCAAACCCTTTACCTTGGTGCCTGGCTTCAAGCCTTCCAGCTGTTTAGGTTTACGGAACGTTTTATGGTGCTGAAGCTTGTGTTCAATTTTGTCCTTGGCAAAGAGAAACTGTAGCCGGCATTTGTTGCAGTGATAAACATTTCTCTTCTGAAGAGGAGAAAAACAAAACAAAACAGACAAGAATCCCTTAAAGGTTTCCAATGAATCAGTGTCAACATTAATCTTTCTTTCTAGAATTTAACGAGTTAAAAAAAAACTATTTAAGACCAGGAAGCCTATCACTGAGAACCACCATCTCTCGTCCCCAGAAAGTGAAGACCAGGACGCAGATCCTCAGCCACTACTTCGTGACCTGGAGCACGTGGGCCAGCAACACATACTTGCTCACCCTATCATCTGGACATTCTTTATGATTTTTAAAAACACACAAAAGTATACATGGTAAAGCTGTCAAGCAAACAACAACTCAAACTTCTCGTTCTGTTCCCTTCACTCTACGTCTGCCTTTAACCCTGACTCAATGATTGGTTCATTGCCATAGACAGGTAACACCAGGCTCAACAGCACTTTTCACCAACTGCATATGAACAACCACAGAGCAAAGACTCTTGTTTTTCTTTTCTGGTGGGGCTAGGGATACAAGCAAGAAACCAAAGCCTTCCTTATGCAGTAAGCAGCCTATCACCAAGACATTCTCCAGTCACATACAAGACAGTAAGTGCTCCCCTCTGTACTGTCGCTTTTCTCCCTTTTTCTGGGGTGGGAAGGTGGCAGAGGAGGAATGGGGGGAGGCTCTTAATACATCTCTATATATAGATGTTTCAATGTTTTGGGGACCATTTTGAGGACTTGGTCTGCCAAAACAGGACTCATATCTATAATTCTCTTTGCTTGGACAGCAAATAAATGTAACATTAAGCTAACATACAACAATTGGTTTCCACGAGCCATACTATGAAAAGGAGTGAGTGAAGGAGGCACTTTGTGAGAATGCATGTGTGAGCACAGAGCACACAGCACCCACCTTGTTTTCCACTCTGTTTCTCTTACAAACCTTCACTCTCTTCTAGTAGGTTCTTTCTTGTAGCATTGTTTATAAAGACAAGAGTCTCACTGCGTATCCTAGGCTACCCTGGAACTTACTCAGCAGCCTAAGCAGAACTCAAATTGATGGCAATTCTACTGCCTCACCCTCCTGAGTGCTGAGATTACAGTCTGAGCCACCATTCTAGGGTTTCTAAAGCATTTTAAAACAAGGTTATGTCTATTCTATATTGTAAATAAAATACAACAAAACCAGCAACACCAGCCCGTCTTCCCCCAGCACCCCCTTGCCCCTGGGTCACCTGCCCTCTGTCCTGCTCTGTATATGCACATCTCTAGGTTGTCTCCATTACGTTCTCAAGTCCTTTGTTTCTCCTGCTAGAACCCTACCAACCAACCCAACAGTCTCTTAATGTTGATTAATGAAGGGCCTGCCGTGGGTTTCTTTCTAGCTTAACATTCCTGTGGCCTGGGCATTTTGATCACTCTCTTCTCCAGAACACTCAGTTTCCTTGGCATCACAACTCCTACTAGGATTACTGCGGTGGTTTTATGGACAGAAACTTCAAGGGCTCTCAGCCCTTTCCTTGACACATCTGCAGGACTTACAAAGTTTAAAATCAGCTGGGGTCTAGGGATGGCTCAGTGGTTAGAAGTACTACTGGCTGTTCTTCAAAGACTCTGGTTCAATGCCTAGTACCCACACAGTGGCTTACATCTGTAACTCAGGTACAGGGCATGCACATGGGACAGACACACATGTAGGCAAAACAGCATACACATAAGATAAAAATAAAATCAACTAGGTGTGGTAGTACACATCTTTAATCTAAGCAGTCAGGAGGCAGAGGCAGATGAATCTCTCTAAGTTTGAGGCCAGCTAAGGCTAGATTAAAACCTAATGAATTTATATAATAATTCTCAAATTAGTCTCGTAGCAACCCAGACCAGATCTTTTATCTACCTGCTGTTGTAATGTCAACAGACAGTGCTAAGCCCAAATACCCAAATCTGAGTATTCTCTCAAAATTTTCTTTCTCCAGTATTTCTCAGCAAATAGTCCTGGTATTCATCCAACTGTCAGAGATGACTAGGCACCATTTAAGATTTTTTTGACAAAAGATCTTGCTATCTGTAGCCCAGGCTACAGGGCCTCAAGTCCTCAAGCCCTTTGGAACTTAGCCTGACAGCAGCATGGATAGAACTCTGAAGACAAAGACAGTACCTGTTTTAGGAACTATTCTTATTCTCTTGATATTCACTTAACTCATCTCTAAATCTTAAGTACCATATTATCTTAGCAATAACTGTTAACTCTATTCCTTTTCTTCACTTCATAAACAACACCCATTGTCACCTCCTACCTACATGATTAATAAAAAGCCTTTGGCTAGTCTTTTGTCTGCTCCTAGTTTCCATTCAGTTCACTAAGTGCAGCCAGGGAAAAATCTTGAATAAAACAAGTAGGAACCTATCACTCAGGGCTTGAACTCCTGTCCCCACCTAGCTTCTGACACCTGCCTTGTATCCCACTATCTACACAGAACACCTCTCCCTTCCTTACACTGCCCCAGGTGTACCTTGTGCTTCAGGTACACTACTTCTCTGTTCTATTTATTCTTCATCATTATTCATCTTTTGCACCTCAAACACCACTTCCTCCTGGATATCCCCTCAGCTCCCAGGATAGGGAGCTGCTCCTCGCTCTCTTGCCCTGTTAACACATCTCTAACCTCTAACCCAGTATGTAGCAAGTAATAGGAACTGAATGATGTTTATTCACAGTAGTATCTTCTCTACCAACATTGTTTATCTATCTCAACCCTGACCCTAGAATCCAGAAATTCAAATGAGAATACAGGATTGTCTTGGTGCCTGATACCTGGTGCCTCATGTAGTGCTGCTGGAATGCATTGCCATTTTTGAAGACTTTCAGGCAATACGGGCAGAGCAAATGCCGGGTATCTTCATGGATCATCCGAAAATGGACATCTACCTCAGAGTAGAGGGAGGAGCGATACTGACACACCTGAGTCACGTAAGAAGGAAAATAAGAGTAAGAGTGAATAACTGGAGCCATAAAAAGAGGTAACAACAAGGGCTGGGAGGTGGGTATTCTTGAATGCATAGATATTATTGTTCTGGTACTGTAGTGGAGATCTATGTGGGTGATAAGTTTAGCTGTGATAAAAATAGTAAAGGACAGCAGAGTCTGAGAATGACCCATATTTTCTAAGGAATAAAAGCATCCTCTATCCTGAGAGGGGAAGTTTGGGAGACAGACTCTCTTAGTATGCACAGGAGGCCCCTGTCTGGGTGTTACCCTATAGAAAGTCCTAACTACAGGAACTGTGTTAGTCTCCTTCTGTATGTCTTCACAATACCTAAACGGAATGTGTACAGTGGGTATTTAAGAATATTCATTACAGGATTTCTTTATAATCAGTTTTAAAACAAAATGCCTAAAATGCTCTGGAGAAAAAGGCAATACCTGACAAACATAAGGCATCTCTCCAGGCTTATGAGTGTCCTTCATATGCTGGAGAAACAGTGGCTCGCTTTCAAATGCCCACTCACAGATCTTGCACTTGGCTGTAAGAAGAAAAATAATCTAGACATGCACCTGGATGTAAGATCATAGCCCTTAAGATTCTTTCTGACTCTGCATCTCCACTTGCAATCACCAACACTTCTGTAAAATGGTTCTGCTCTAACATTTGTATTGCCAATGACAACTGATGTCCCTATGTCTCTAACTCAGTCTTTTTAAACAAAGTTCTATTCTAGACTGTGAACTGTTTACATTTTAATTTGGGCATTCTCTCTACTTCTAACTTGACATCACATTCTCTGTTTACCATTTCCTATCTCTTACTTCTCTTTTTAACTCAATACCCACTGTTGTCATCACTCAATGACAGGTAAGAACTTGGTAGAAACCCTTATGATTTACTACTATTCATCAGCTTCCATATATCTGCAGTGTGCATTCTTCACTACTGAATGAGTTCTTTTAAAATACAACATGATTTTATGCCTGTGACTAAGGACAAAGATTCTAATTTATATAAGTAATTCATGAATATCTACTGACTGTCCATGAAGTACCAGAAAGAATTTGTTCTGAAAAGGCTGACAAACACTAAGAGATGTTTGCTTTCTGATTTTATGACAGGGTCTCATTACACAACTCTGTATGGCCTGGAATTCATAGACCATTCTGCCTCTGCCTCCCAAGTCAGGGAATAATGGTATGTGTCACCACACTTGGCTGGACAGATGCTCTTACTTTGTCATAAATGGCATTTCTCTTTCTATATTAACAGATTCAAGATAATTATACTCTGAAATCAGCCAATTTGTCAAGCTTGATTATAAGGATATAATTATAAATTTTTCATAAAAATTTTAATTGCTTCATATTTTGAATTATAAAGTATGGCTAGAAAAGGGGACATGTTTGTGTTTTTCTTTGTTCACTGGCCTTTCAAGTTTCTAGAAATATGGAGATTGAAGACTTAAAGTTGTAAGTACTTATCAGACAATGGCCCACCCCTTGAGTCTTTCTAAGTTCTTCCTACATTAAAAACTCTGAAAGTTTAACCACTACTTTTTGTGAAACCTGAACACAAGATCTTTCCCTTCCTGGAATTATCTTACCATCCCTGCTATCACCTAAGGCAGGTTTGATTCTTTAGAGACAGGGTCTTATGTAGCCTAGGATTGCCTTGAACTCAGTGGTGTTTCCTACCTTGGCTTTCTAAGTGCTGGTATTACAGGCATGAGCCTGTAAAACTAACATATAATATTGTTTTATTCTCACTATAATTATGTAAGCTCCTATCCATAACATAATTATACTTAGCATAACTTTTAATAAAACTGGCAATCCTTTAAAGGACACCAGAAATTATCTGAACAGGGAGAGGAGATGGTTCAGTGGTGAAAGTGTATACTGCTTTAGCAGAGAACTGGAGCTTAGTTCCCAGCATACTGGGCAGCTCACAATCATCTCTAACTCTAGCTCCAAGGAAATCTGATGCCTTTGGCCTCTGTAGGTCCGTGCCTAGGAGCATGTGCACACAAACACACACACACACACACACACACACACACACACACACACACACACACACACACACTAAAAATTAAAATCCTGAAGCTGGGTGGTGGTGGTGGTGGCATATGCCTTTAATTGTAGCACTCAGGAAGAGGAGGCAGGTGGATCTCTGAGTTCAAAGCCAGCTGGTCTACAGAGTGAATTCCAGGACAGCCAGCGCTACACAAAGAAACCCTGTCTAGAAAAAACAAAATTAATTGATCCAAAATGCTGGGCTCCCATCTCAAAATGCCAACTCAATAGAAATAATATATGTGTTTGGTTTTTTTGGTTTTTTTTTTTTTTGGAAACAGGGTTTCTCTGCATAGCCCTGCTGCCCTGAAACTCACTCTGTAAACCAAGCTGGTCTCCAACTCACGGAGATCTGCTTGACTCTGCCTCCCAAGTGCTGGGATTAAAAGTGTGCACCACCACCTCTGGCTAGAAATGTGTGTTTTAAGCAAATGACTTCATTACTCTAAGTTAGTGCTCTCATTTTATAGTACTTTAAAATCAGGCTTGAAAGAAATAGGGAAAAGCAAGTCCCTAAAACTATTATCTGCATGTAAAGAGCTCTTTGCTAGTGTCATTCAGTAAGTGACAAAAAGGTAGCTCCCACCCCTCCACTGGAGTTTGCATTTTCAAACTTACTAGTAGACTCATAGGGACTGTGAACATTTTCCAAGTGGCACTGGAGCTGGAATGGGGTGGAGAACTGGCGGTAACAGTGTTGACAGATAGTGTGACCATCCACCTCGCCATTCTGCTGATCAAGTTCCACATGGTGCTTCATATGGTTCATGAATCTGTAACACAGCACAAAGAGAAAGTACAGAAAACACAATCAGTAGTCTTTGAGAGATATGATAGAATTATAAGCAAATATTATTTGCTCTCTCCTCCAACTGCCTCTATTTGGGATAGTCTTTTTCTGAGCTGGCGAAATTTTTCAAATTCTGTACATGCGTGTGTGTCTGTGTATGTGGGCATGTACTCACAGATTCTGTACATGCGTGTGTGTCTATGTATGTGGGCATGTACTCACAGGTACAGTGATTAAAGAGACCAGAGGCACTGGGTCCCCTGGGGCTGGAGTCACAATCAGCAGCACCCGATGTGGTGCGAGGGAACTGGATTCAGATCCTCTGCAAGAGCAGAGCACACTTTGAACTTCCTTTGAGCCCTCTTCTCCAGCGCCAGATACCATGTTTTTTGTTTTTTTCTTTTTGGTTTTTCAAGACAGGGTTTCTCTGTATTGCTTTGGAGGCTGTCCTCGAACTCGCTCTAGAGACCAGGCTCGCCTTGAACTCACAGAGATCTGCCTGCCTCTGCCTCCCAAGTGCTGGGATTAAAGGTGTGTACCACTAATGCCTGGCCTTTTTTTTTTTTTTTTTTTAAATAATTTATTTTTTATTTTATGTGCATTGGTGTTTTACCTGTATGTATGTCTGTGAGAGGGAGTCAGATCTTGGAGTTACAGATAGTTGTGATACCATGTGGGTGCTGGGAATTGAACCCCAGTCCTCTGGAAGAGCAGCAGTGCTCTCAACTGCTGAACCATCTCTCCAGTCCCCAAATAATAGGTTGTTAAAACTAAAATTAGGTTCTGTGCAAAGAGACTGGTATCCTTTATTAATAAAATAACAGTATTGTACACTATAACTTCTAACAAGACTGCATCATAATTAATGTTTCCAAAAAGAAAAACTTAACAAGGTAAGAAAATTTGTCTACTTTCATGCTTACCTAATGTTGTTCTTTAGCCTTTTGGTACAATGAGGGCATCGGAAAGATGTGGCAACCTTAGGAAAGCTCGTGAGCTGGGCTACCTTGCCCCCATCCCGTCCATAGTAAAAGTCATCAACTAGCATAATAAGCTTGGTCTGGACGCCATCTCCAGCGTTCTCATTTGGCTCTGGTACTTTGGTAGGTGGTGAGAGAGCAGGAATAGGTGTAGAGGAGGGTGTGGAAGTGATGGGAGCTGTCTTCTCAGGGGATGAGGGCTTTGCTGCCAATGGAGTACTGGCCTCTGCTTCGAGGGACTTGCCTTTCTTCTGGTACTCAACCATTTCAGGGCAGCAGTACTGTAAAAGAGATGACGTCATGATTCTGATTACCCGAGACTAGGATGAGCTAAATCCATATCACTAATAGTCCCTGGGAGTGATCTGTTAATGTAGGCAATAAAGGATATGTTTGTGGACACTGGGATCTCTGCTCAGGATAGTCCAGGAGTAGCTGGACTATAGGCATTCATTAGCACACCTGAGCTGGGTAAGGTGGTTATCTTCCAGCTTTCATCTTGCTTTTTTTAGTAATCCCAGAGTTCACATTTTTCTTTTATATGTCCACAGAGCCTCTAACACTACACCTTTTAGAGCTCTCCCACCTGCCTGTCTAGAGACTTATAATAGCATCATTTGACTTGGAACATTCTAGAGAAAGAAGTTCCAACCTTTTCATTTGGACTGATACCAGAAAGTTACAAGACTATAAATAAAGCAGGGACCAGGTAACAGGTTTTAATTCTTCTAGTGACACAATTAAAACTGAGCTGAGGTTATGACAATTGTCTGTGGTCTTATGCAACAAACTTGCTGTCCCGCGAGATCAAATCTACCATGCTAAGACAGTAAGTGTCCCATCACCTATCAGCAGTTTTTAAATGCTGATATCATATTTTCAGTTCACATAGCCCTTTTCTACAATATACCAAAGGAGAGAACAGCATTTACAAGTTTCCAAGCCAGTTTAAGCATCTGATTTTCATGCTCTCACTATCAGAGAGGGAAGAGGAGGCCACTTAAGCTGGCTCCTGATACAGGTGGTGTCACTTACACACATGTGACCTCTCAAGGCTTCAGTGACACGGAACTGAGCGTTACACCGTGGACATATTTTCCGTCCACCATCCTGGAGGTCAAACGCTGGGATGGAAGAGGTCACTGGAAGAATGGAGAAGAATTAATAAGATTAATACAGCATACTGGGGCAAGATTCCTGAGAAAACAGCCAAGAGTAAAAAGCAAGCATGAGAGGCATACTTTTTCACTAGGGCTGGCTGGCAGACTGAGAACAAAGGGCATCTGACCAGCAGTCAGTTTCTGTTTTCACTCACGAGCTGGGAATGCCCTTTACCACCACCTCTAATTAGGTAAAGTTCTGTTTCTCTCTCCCACTTATGTCTTTTTTTTGGTTTGTTTTCAGACAGCATATTTGTGTAATTCAGGTTAACCTTGAACTCATGATTAACATGCCTCCACCCCGAGTTCTGAGATAACAGGATGTGCCATATGGCTGACAAGACACCTTTCTTTTTTAAAACTGTAATGGAGCTGAGCATGGTGATGCACACCTATAATCCTAGTCTTTGGGAAGTGGAGGCAAGAGGATCACCAAGTTCCAGGCCAGCTTAGTCTATATATTTAGTTCCATTTGGCCTACATAGGAAGACCTGGTTTTAGAACAAAACAAAACATATAAATTGTGACACTGTGACATACAGAAAGCAATACTCAGCACTATAACTGGCTTTGAGTATGTGCTTTAGGTGGCGAAGTACATCCATGATGTATAATTTTCAGAACTTTTTTACTTACTTAATTTCATGTGCCTTGGTGTTTTGTCTGCATTCATGTCTGTGTGAGAGAGTTGGATCTGCTGGAACTAGTGTTACAGACAGTTGTGAGCTGCCACATGGGTGCTGAGAATTGAACCCAGGTCCTCCGGAAGAGCAGCCAGTCCTCTTAACCACTGGGCCATCTCTCCAGCCCTCCAGAACTCTTCTTACCTTATAGAACTGAAACTATTTTGGGGGGAGTTCCGCCTGAAACAGCACCTCTTATAGCCCATACCATCGCTAAAGGCATGATACAGTGGAAGCCAGCTCTGAATTCCCGCTCCTCCTGCCTCCATGTGCCAGGGTCTAGGATAACACATGTGTGCTATACCCATGGCCTTTCTGTACCAGGGTCTCCTATGTCACACTACTGGCCCAGACTCTGACATTATTTCACATAAACTAATAATGCCCTTAAAGTTTTCCATGTTGTATTATGTCAAAACGACTTCCTATACATACAAGTGATATTACATGGAGTCAAGAAGGTTATTATTTAGGAATATGTATGTATAGATGTACATATGTGTACAATAACAACTGATGAAAAAAGAAGCCATAAATTTAAAGAAGAATGGGAAGAGATATATGGGAAGGTGTGGAGGAAGGAAAAGGAAGAAATGTAATTAAATTTACAATTTCAAAAATAAAAACAACTTTTGGAAAGAAAAAACTTCCTTTTTAACTCTAAATAACATACCATTGTATTAAACAAGACATATTTGTTTACACATTCACGATCTGATGGCAATTTAGGCTGTTCTCACCTTAAGCCTACTGTGAATGATGCAGCTAATGAGCACAGAGGTACAAACTCCTGTTCTAGTCCCTGCTTTCAACGCTTTTCACTATGTACTCAAAAGCAGAACTCCTAAAGCATATGGCAATTAAACTATTTTTTCACAGTATCTGTACTGTGCTATATCCCTGCCAATACGGTATAAGGATTCCACTTTCTCTATATGCTCATCTAAACGTTAAGTTTATTTTGTGTATGTGACTGTGCATGTGGTCAGAGTGTCCATTCTGTCCTTCAGTGTAGGCCCCAGAGATCAAACTCAGGCTGTAAGGCTTGGCGGTAAGAATTCTTTGCATGCAAAAAAATTAAAAATAAAACCAAACAAAAGAAAATCTTTGCACGCTGAGCCACCGTCTTATCGTACCTGAACCACTTTGTGATTTTTTAAAACCATTACAGGGGCTAGAGAGATGGCTCAGTTATTAAGAACACTGGCTGCTCTTTTGGGGAACCCCGGTTTCTCTAGCACTCACACAGTGGCTCACAACCATCTGACACCCTCTTCTGGTTTCTCTGGGTACCAGGCATGCACATGATGCACACATATACAAGAAGGCAAAATGTCCACACACAAAAAATGAGTAAAATTAAGAGAAACAAAACAGTAACGACAACAACAAAAAACTAATTACAACTTCCTTTTATTATATTCTGACACTGAATTATTCAACATCAGTCTCTGTGCAGGGAGAAAAAGTAAAACCACCTAGCTAGATGAAGGTGGTATTGTATCATAATCTTAACCCCTCTTTAGAGATCTTTTTCTCAGCTACACATTCTTTTTCCATCAGTGTGCAAAGTGAGTTCCTTAGGCATTTTCAGGCACACTTGGTCTTGGCTGACTCTGTCTCTATCTGCTCCTCTCCGTTACCTGTCTGTCCCTGCTTGTACCGTTCCAATCCCAGTTTCCCTCAGCCACTTCCTCTCACACATGCTCTGTTCATCTCTGTTCACTTCCTTAACCCTGCTCACCTCTCTCCCCAACCATCTGTCCCTTTCCAGTTCCCTGGTGTGGGTGCACTCAGTCCTACATAAGCACACACAGCGACATTACGATCCACAGAGAACACACAGGACTTGTCTTTCTCAACTGGGGTTAACTTTCTGGTTTGGCTGGTTTAGTTGGGTTGTTTGCCTTGAGTCACTATCCTCTGGGTACAGATGGCATTTCACCATGGTTTTTATGTTTCCCTCAATCGATACTGCTGGCCACCTTGTGTTTATCAGACATTCCCTGACTGTCTGTGGAGATCCATCTTGTCCCCCAATCCCTGCAGGGGACAGAATTTAGGAACTCCTCCTATCACTGATCCTTCTCTACAAGCCCTCTGCCTCATTAAGGAACAGGCAACAAAGCAATACATAGAAACCCTGTCTTGGAAAAAAAAATTATTATTATTATTATTATTATTATTATTATTATTATTTATTTTTTGCTTCTTGAGACAAGGTCTCTCTATGTAACCCTGGCTGTTCTGGACCTTACTGTGTATGTAGAGCAAGCTGGCCTCAAACTCAAGAGCTCTGCTTGCCTCTGCCTCCCATGTGCTGGGATTAAAAGCATGGGCCACCACAACAAGAGTAACAACAAAAACTCAACATTTTTTTATCACATTTACTTTGTGTATTTGCACACATGCCACAGCAGGTGTGTAGAGGCTAAAGGACTACCTGATGGCTCACTCCTTCCACCATGTAGATTCTAGGGACAGAGCTCAGTCACCAGGCTAGGCGGCACCTTTACCCCCCGAGCCATCACGCCTGCTTCACCTCCTCTTCAATGGGATGAGTTTGTTATTGTTGCAGTGTAGGAATTACTTACATATTAGTAATTTCTCAGTACAATGTATGTCCCCCTATTCTATAGGTTCCTATTTCACTTTGCTATAAATGTTCTCTGATGCATATGTTTAAAATTTCCAATTTAGCAATTTTTATTTTGCCTATGCTTCTGGCATCCAAGAAATGGTTGTTAAATGTAATATTGTCAAGCATTTTTTTTGTGTGTGTGTTTCCTAGGAATTTTTGGTTTTGGTCAGTTGTTTTCTGGCAGTCTTCATGCATCAGCCCCCTAAGTGCTAGTTAACAAGCATGAGCCCCCTATTTGGTCCTTTGAGGTTTTTCTTTTGTTGTTGAGACAGGTTCTTACTACATAGCCTGGGATGGCTTAGAATTCACTATGTAGACCAGGCTGGCCTCAAACTCTCAAGAGATCCGTCTGCCTCTGCTTTCCAAGCACTGGGATTAAACATATGTCACCACATCTAGCTTTGAGTTCATTTTTGTATTTTGTAAAGAATTTCAATTTTTTTGTGACTATATAGTTTTTTTCAATGTATTTTAAAAGTTTCAACCTTTTAAAATAGTTGAAATAAAGCCGGGTAGTGGTGGCGCACGCCTTTAATCCCAGAGCTCGGGAGGCTGAGGCAGGTGGATCTCTGGGAGTTCCAGGACAGCCTCCAAAGCCACAGATAAACCCTGTCTCAAAAAAACAAAAAAATAACAACAACAAAAAAGTTGAAATAAAAGCAAAAGAAAAATTGGGGCACACAAAAAGCATATAAAATTTGAAATTCAGACCCCATAACTTTAATGGAACACAGTCTAGCTCTAATTCATTTGTCTGGTATCAGTAGCTGCTTCTACACAGTGGCACCAGCATATGTAAGCATGTGACATGTTGTGCATAAAGCCTAGTATCCTAGGCTTTATGCACATATAAAGTTACCAGATTCTGTCCTGTACCACTGAAAATCCTCACAATCATATTCTCTATTTTTCTGAAAACTTCTCTACAACATCGCAATTTTAAAAATTCACCCCAGAGGAATTGGATGTATGGCTCAGTGGTTAACAGCCCTGACTACTCTTGCAGAGATCCTCAGTTTAATTGCCAACACTCACATGGTGACTCACAACCTCTGTAACTGCAGCTCTGTGAGCTCTAATGTCTTCTTCTAGGATGCAGAAGTACATGAAGACAAAACACCCATATATATAAAATAAATCTTAAAAAAAAAAAAAAATTCACCCTAGAAAATCCAGAGGTTGCAGTTAAGTTTCACAATTGGTACCTTCTTACTAATTAGCATTTCTGTAAGACCAAATCAAAGCACTGACATCCTATTTTATTTCTCCATTTCAGAATAGTTTCAATGCAATAAGTGCTTATCAGTGTTTTCTGAATGTCTGGCTGGAGGTGCAGACTCTCACATTACCTTTCATTGAAGATTCGGGTCCACTGGTTCTTTGAGTAGAACTGTTGTTGGACACCACCACTGGCCCAGGACTCTGGCCCAGGGAAGGGACAGTGTTAAGAGTATTCACCAATTTGGCCACTTCGTTGCTATTTTCACCTGTAACCCCAGGTCGCTTCACAGTGACAAAGCTGGCAATGCTCACTGCAGGTGGAGAGGGGAAGGAGGGAGCTACATTGACCAAGTGAAAATCATCTGCTTCCCACCCTCGACCCCACGCTGTGCTGCCATCTCCTCACCCCGAGTCTCACCTAGTTTGGGATTCGAGGTCTGGTTGGATTGGCCCAGAGGCTGAACAGCTAGCTGCCCCAATGAGGCTGGCTGTGTGGCAGTGGGAGTAGTGGAGGTGCTGGGAGTGGACTTGGTCTGCTGTGACTGTGACTGAGGGACAGTGCTTCGAATGGTCAGAGTAGCTGGGATGACGGTGGTGAAGGTGTTGGTGGTGGGCCTCACAGGCACTGTGGAGCCTGGCCTCACGGGGGTCATCTGAGAAAACACTTGTGGGACGCCAACTGTCGGCTTAACAAACTGTGTACCTGGGGCTTTTAAGAGAGAGACAAAAAAGTCCCAAACCTTCATGAGTGAGCTCACCTATAACATATTTTCTTGCCTTTCCTAGAAACACAAGAACAGGAAAAAGTTATTTCCCTAAACTGACTGAGTGACCATCAGAGGTTACCAAGACTAGTATTGATCTTAACATCTAAGAAAGCACCAGCTGTCCAAACAAAAGGAATTACCCTAAGCAGCCTAAAGCAATAATTAGAAGACAGCTCCCACCAACTCCTCTGCAGACACCTTCCACACTACCTTTTTTTACCTCAAGAATACAAACAGTGGCTTGACCTCTGTATTAGGAATAGGAGGAACAATAAGGAGATATACACCAAAGGTCAAACTTGGTCCTTAAAGTCCCTTTTCAGATTCTAAAAGAATTTTCCATTTTTTTTTTTCTATAAACTCAAAAAGGCCAGGGAACTTCTCTACCAGAATGTCCCAAGTGGAATGTTTTTTTTAAAAACAACTGTAGACAATTCCACAGAGAAATATTTATGGAATATCAATGTTACAGAGAAATCTATTGGGACTTATGGCCTAAAAAGCTATGTGGGCTCTGAAATCAAAGGACCAAAAATTCTTTAGAAAGGCAAACTACAGAGGCCCCTGTATTATTTCTAACACTTCTCTATTTGTGTATATACACACATGTGTGAGTGGCATGCATACCACGGTGTGCATGTGGAAGTCAGAGTACACCTTGTGGGAACTGGATCTTTCCTTCCACCACGTGGCTTCTAGGGAAGTCCTTTTAGCCCTGAGACACATACTAGTCCTGGGGTTCTGGTCTATATGATTAAACAAAGTTATTCTCTTTTTGCCCTGAACTGTAGAAAACCTCACAGATAAGAAAAGTGACTTCAGGGGAAATTACAAGATTCTTTTTGGTACTAGAAGTTGCACCCAAAGTCTCATACAATACTAAGAATTCACTCTGCCCTTGGCTACACCCCCCAGTTCCAGTATTCTTTAGTATTCAATTATATGGTCAACGGTCATATTATCCTCACAGGATAGATCATTTACTTAATTTACACCTATAGACCCCCAAACCGCTGCCTTGTTTTGTTTGTTTCTTGCGACAAGACTGGCCTTGAATTCACAGTATTCCTCCTGCTTCAACCTCCTGAATGTTGGATTCCAGGAGTGTGCCATCATGCCTGGCTGCATATCCAAACCTATGCTTTAAAATTAAAGTAAAATTCAATTTATAATCCTATCACATAAATGAGTACATATATATGGAGTATGAGATTTGTGACTTCGCATTAATGATATTCTTTCAGGATAACAAACAATAACTGACTTAGCAGATACTGGTAACTAGATAAACTTTTTTTAACTCATAAAGGGTAGTGAAAAGCTAAACATAAAAACAAAATTACCATCCTGGCCAATGGGTAGAAACTTTTTTTTTGGAGACAGTGTCTCTCTGTGTAATAATAGCCCTGGCTATCCTGGAACTTGCTCTGTAAACCAACAAACATTTTTTTTCTAATTGGGCTTAAATCGAAGTTTTTTGGTTTTTGTTTTTTTCAAGACAGAGTTTCTCTGTGTAATAGTCCTGGCTGTCCTGGAACTCGCTTTGTAGACTAGGCTGGCCTCGAACTCACTGAGATCCACCTGCCTCTGCCTCCCAAGTGCTGGGATTGAAGGCATGCATCAACACCACCCGGCAGGTTTAAATTTTTCTTTAAATATATGCTTTCAAATGAACTAGACTATTTTGAAAGTGGCAGGGTTAAATTTTTCTTTAAATATATGCTTTCAAATGAACTAGACTATTTTGAAACAATAAAAGCAAATATCTGGATGCCAGGTTATTCCAAATGGGTAAACATTTCCTTACCTGGGACCAGTGTAATTGGTCTAACTGTTTGTCCTTGCTGTACATTCAGTACAATCCCAACCTGATTCATTGCATTTTGTACAGGCCGAACATTCCTTACAGGAAATCCCTGTATTAAAAAGCAAAATGACCTTTAACACAGAAAGCATCTAGCCCTGACACTGACTACAGTATGAATGACAGCCCCATATTCTTACCTAATGGCTTTCTAGTCTCTAGAGTTACAGCTTTCAACGGACTGAAATAGAAAAATTTAAGGAGTTCTCCCATGCTAGATTTTTGTGGAGTGTTTCTTTGTTTTTTGTTAAGATGGGTCTTGCTATGTAGCCTAGACTGCCCCCAAACTCCTGTGTTTGCAAACATCTTTGTTTTAAAAAAGGGTTTAAATAGCCCAGGTTGGCCTCAAACTTGCTATGTTGCTCAGGCTAGCCTTGAATTTATGACAATTCTGCTTTATTCTCTTAAGAGCTAGGTTTACAAGTATACACCACCACACCCACCCATCCTGTTTAGCAAACTATCAAGTAACAAAAAACAACAAACTATGTAAACTGTGTATCTACAGACTGACGCCTTGAAGGGAAAAACCAAAATCACTAACAGTATTTAATCTAATAATCCAACATATAAACAATCCTTGTTTTATATGCTGCTCCCAAAGCCCACTTTAAAGGTCACAAACCTCTAATAAATTAGTAAGAAATTATAGAAATCAGGAAGTTTACAGCAGAGAGAAGCACATGCCTTTAAATTCCACTCTGACTTGGGCTTTCAACTTCCTATTACTACACTGTATGGTAAGCCTTCCTTTTTCAAAGACATATATCTTCAAAGTCAATGAATTTATCCTAGAGGATAGAGATAGAAGCAGTCCAGGCAAAAAGGAATGCTTGCAAGGCTTTAAAAAAAACTAAATTTACTTTATGTGGATGAGTGTTTTGCCTGCATATGTATATGCACCACGGGAGTGCCTGGTGTCTACACAGGTCAGAAGGCATCAGGCTCTGGAAGTAAAGCTTTGTAATAACTATGAGCCAACATGGGTGCTGGGAATTGAACCTGGGTCTTCTGCAGGAGGAACAAATTCTCTTGACTGGTAAGCCACCTCTCCAGACCTGTGTAAAGGCTCTCAGGTTCTCTCAACACCCTCCTCCCCCCATTTTTAGAGACAGGGTTTCTCTGTGTAACAGCTCTGGCTGTCCTAGAACTTGCTTTTGTAGACCAGGCTGGTCTTGAACTCACAGAGATCTGACTGTCCCTGCCTCCAGAGTGCTGGGATTAAAGGCGTGTGCCACCACTGCCCAGCATGTGAAGGCTTTCTAACTTTTCCCAATAATTTCTGCCTAGACTTTAAATCAACTACAGTGTATGGACAGGAAATATGCAGGCATGGTGCTATACTGGCATTCCACAAGGAAGAGAAGAGAACCTCAGTTCAACAGTCAAGACTCAGAACCATTTCTAATGGTGATGGCATAGCCTCTGGAGGCTTACAGTCTTTATTTCCTCTACAGGTCCCAGAATTCAAAGTCTACTCACCTGGGTAGTGATGAATATAGGTTGTGAGGCCACAGGGGAGCTAGTCACATGATTGGCATTCTGCATGACCTGGACAGGTCTCAATACTGGTTGAGTAACCATTGTTCCCAGACCTGGTGCTGGATTCTGGGTCAGAATGAGTGGCTGTCCACCTTGCTGGACCAAAGTATTACCAGCTAAAGAGCAAAAGGCAGGAAAAACAAAAGTAAACAACACAAAAGGGATGTCAGAGCATTGCTAAACTTGTATTCTATAAGAAACATTACTGTCTCAGTTAAAAAATGGTGTCTCAGATGTCAAAATTAATTAGCTACCACTACTTACCCTCAGGCTTGATGTCACCAAACTCAACCAAAACTTAAGCTTCACCCAACTCTATATATAGCTAACAGAAAACAGTGGGTAGGGCAGTTCACTAACCCTTACTCACGTCTTAACTAAGGCTGAAAAATGACACCAGTTCCCATCTTCACACTAATGATTTAAGTGACCACACAATTCTCCCTAATCAGCAGAGCAAAAAAAAAAAAAAAAAAAAAAAAAAAAAAAAAAAAAAAAAAACAAACAAACAACTTCCTATATTTTAAGTAAAACCTATTTGTAAGAAGGTAATCTGTTATTGACTAATCCCCTTCATTTTTTTATATTTGTTTAGTATAAATGTGCGCTTAGGTATGTGTTCCATGTCCTATGTATGGAGATCAGAGGACAACTTCTGGGAGGCACTGTTCTCAGGTCTGTTATAGCCCAGGCTGACCTTAAAACCAGCCACAATATTCCTGCCTCATTATCCAAAGTGCTGGGATTACAGGTAATATATGCACAAATTGTATCCAACAGTCATTGTAGCTCTTTAGAAGTGAAGTATCAATGTACCTTTTTAAAAAGATTTATTTATTTATTTATTTATTTATTTATTATGTATACAGGGTTTTGCCTGCATGTATGTCTGCCGGCCAGAAGAGGGCACCAGATCTCATTACAGATGGTCGTGAGCTACCCTTTGGATGCTGGGAATTGAACTCAGGATCTCTGAAAGAGCAGCCAGTGATCTTAACCTCAATGTACCTTTTTAAAATGTATTGTAACACACTGACCAAATAATGGGAAATATAGTCATCAAAAATGTTAGAAAAGAGCTGGGTAGGGGTTTATATAAGTGAGTTTCAGGATAGCCAGAGCTACATAGAAAGACCCTGCCTCAAAAACAAAACAAAAACAACAAAAAAACCCCAACAACAAAAAACCACGAACCAAAAACTGAATGTTAGAAAGGGCGGAAGATGTAGCTCAGTTGGCAGAGTGCCTGCCCAGCACGAATGAGGCCTTTGCTTCAAAGGTCAAAAGTACACAAGTGAGGCATCAGGAGTTAAGAAGTTTGAGGTCACCCTGTTGCTATAGTGAGTTTGAAGCCAACCTGGAAAACAAGACCAAGCTAAAAAACAAACAAACAAACATATGCATGTGGACACACCTGTAAATCTAGTACTTAAGACAGAAACACAAAGATCAGGAATTCAGGGCCAGCCTCAACTAAATGGAAATTTCAAGGCTTGCCTAGGCTATATGAAACCCTACCTCAAAATAAAAACAGGGCTGGAGAGAAAGTTGGCTCAACAGTTAAGAGCATTTGTTGCTCTTGTAGAAGATTTGGCTTTGATTCCCACTGCAACCATCTGTAACTCCTTTTGGAAGGGATCCAATGCCTTCTGACCTACGATGGCTCCAGGTAATACATATGGTGTACAGACATATGTGCACTTAAAACACTAATACATATAAACTAAATAAACTAATTAACTTAAAAAACAAAAGAGCCAAGGCATGGAGACACACTTTTAATCCCAGTACCTGGGAGGCAGAGGTAGATAGATGGATCTGTGAGTTCCAGACCAATCTAGTTGCTACTCAGAGTTACATGGTAAGACCCTATCAAAAATAATAAAGCAGTTAAAGTTATAATTATTAAAATGATAAGATAGTCACTGTATACTACAAGAAAAGAGTAGGGAAAATGTAGTCTGTGTGATTCTATTTTTGTAAATAGCATATCACTATACATAGTATATAACAGTGTATAAAAATAACTATTTGCATAAATGAAGAATTACAAATAATCATTTCCACATAATAGGACAGTTAATTTTCCCCCTTTTGACTTTGTTGCCTAGATTCTCTGTTTTTCTTTTCAACTCCATTTTTCTTTGAGACAAGGTCTTGCTATGTAGCAGATTGGCCTTAAACTCACAACCCTAAGCACTATGATCACAGGCATGTACCACCACACCTTGCCCTGTTCCTAACATTTTCTACAATCTGTGTGTGTGTGTGAGAGAGCGAGAGAGAGAGAGAGAGAGAGAGAGATGTGGAGGACAGTGGCTAGCCTCAGGTGCTGTCTGCCTGGTTTTGGTTTTGGCTTTGTTTTGAGACAAGGTTTTTCACTGGCCTGGAGCTGGATGAGAAAGCCAAGCTGGACAGTGAGCTCCAAGGATCCACCTCTTGGTACCCAGGACTTTACATGGGCCCTGGGAATCTAACTCAAGTCCTCATGCTTGTGTAGCAAGCAGTTTAATGAATGAGCCATTTCCCAAGCCCCTGCTCTTCTTTTTCTGTGATAGGGTCCCATGAAGACTAAGTTGGCTTCAAACTCACTGTGTAACCAACAATGACCTTTACTTCTGATGCTCTGCCAACTTCGGAGTGCTGGGATTACAGAGGGGTGCTACCACATCCAGTTTATGCGGTACTGGGGACCTAACTCAGGACTTTGTCATGTGTGTGTGCATTCTAACTCAGCTGCATCTCCAGTTCCACATATTATTCTTACATCAATAAAAATTCTAAAGGAAATAAAATGCCTACTTAGGCGGACAAAGCAGAAGGAACCAAGTTTAGGGCCAGCCTGAATAGCTTAGCTAAACTCTATCCCAAAATAAACACTTAAAAGGGGGCTGGGAGTGCCGGGTGGTGGTGGTGCACACCTTTAGTTCCAGCACTTGGGAGGCAGAGGCAGAGGCAGGTGGATCTCTGTGAGTTCAAGGCCAGCCTGGTCTACAGAGCAAGTGCCAGGACAGCCAGAGATGTTAAAAACCAAAAATATATAAAAAAATAAAATTGGGGGGTGGGAGATGGGACTATAGTTCAATGGTTGAGTGTTTACCTTAGAATGAGTAAGACCTTCTATTCAATCCCCAGTGTGTGTATGTGTGTCTATGTGTAGGGGACCATGTTCAGTTCCTAATAACACACACACACACACACACACACACACACACACACAAAACAACAACAACAAAAAACCCATGTAGCTTGGAGCTCACTGTCCAAGCCTTTATTCCCAGCACTAGGAGGCAAAGGCAGATGGGATCTCTACAGGTTTGAGACCAATCTGGTCTATATACTGAGTTCCAGGCCATCCAGAACTACATAGACCCTACCTAAAAAAAAAAAGAATGAATAAAGAAAGAAGGAAGGTGACGGGAGATGTCCTTCTGTATATGTTTCTCTTATTGGTTGATGAATAAAACACTGATTGGCCACTAACCTGGCAGGATGTATAGGCAGAGCTAAGAGACTAGGAAAATTCTGGGGAGAGGACACAGAGAGAAGCCACCAGAGGGAGACTCCATGTAGCTATGGGGAAAATAGGAAGCGTCGGGCATTCTCTGGTAAGATAAGACCATGTAGAAATATATGTATGTATATGTATATTTTTAATTAATTTATTTTTGTTGTTGTTGTTTTGTTTTGTTGACAGGGTTTCTCTGTGGCTTTGGAGGCTGTCCTAGAATGAGCTCTTGTAGACCAGGAGAGAGAGTGAGTGCACAAAACCAACCAACCAACCACCCCAGATCTTTAGAAGAGTTAGCAATGTTGAGTGCATCTTTTCTATCCCAGAGATTATCAACCAAGAATCTGCTGACCTGACTCAAGATGCAGCATCAACCCAGCATGACTGAAGTAACACAGCACCTGCAGCATTCCTTCCACACCACAGCACAGTTCCTAGAGATGCCTCCGGCTAGCACGACCACAGGACTACCAGGGATAGCTAGCTTCGAGGTCATTTTTATTCTCACACCTCTACCCCAGAAGACTTTCCCAATAATCCCACTTACCATTGTTGTTGGCAATTAGTGTGACAAGAGTCTTCTTTGTACTGTCGCTGTTCTGTGCCCCACTGCTACTAACAGAAGTGGATGTAGAGAGGTGCCCAGCAACAGAAGCATGGGCAGCAATAGGCACTGGAGCTGAGACTGGCTGCTGGCTCACAGAAACTGTGGGGAAGGGAAGGCATAGTCACTTGGAGACAGGGACAGGTGACACTAAAGATTCTGCTTCTACTCTTCCCTTTTTTCCTTGTTTCAACAGTCAAGTTTCCTACTTCACTCAAAATTCCAACTACTGATAGGCTGAGAAACAATTAGGAGGAAAATTCCCATCATTTAGACACAATCTTTTTGATCTTCACATCTTTTCCTACTGCTATGATAAAACACCCTGACAAAAGCAATTTAAAGGAGAATGGGCTTCTACAGCTTACAATTTCCATCACTGTAGGGAATTTAAGGTGGCAAAGAGCTTCAAGCTGCTCATCATATTATACTGAGTCAAGAGCAGAGAACAATAAATGAACGCATACATGCTAGTGCTCGGCTCACTTACCCAACTCCTAAACAATTCAGAATCTTTTTCCTAGGGAAAGATGCCACCCACAATGGGTGGATGGGTCTTCTGACCCCAATTAATGTAACCAAAATAATCTTCCACAGACACGTCCACAGGCCAATCTGATAGAGTCTCTGTTCATTCTAGATTGTAAAACTAACCGTTATATGTTCTCTTTCTTACATTTCCTGGTTAATTGTTAGGTCACTGCAAGGCTGAAGAGATGGCTCAGCAGTTAAGAGTACTGGCTGCTCTTCCAGAGGACCCAGATTTAATTTCCAGCACTCACATGGCAGCTACACTGTTAACTTCATTCCAGGGGATTCAATGCCAAGGGATTCTTCTGGCCTCTGTGTACACCATGTATGCATGTGGTGCAGATATACACCCCTATACATATACATATATATTTTTTAAATCTCAGCAAAGTTAGGTCAGTGACCTCCGAGCAGGACTTAAAACATTTTGCTTTCTACAGCACTGCTTTAGGACTCCAAGAATTAACATCACCACTACTACAATTTATAACCCTTCATAACAAGCCACCTAAATCAATCAGGTCTCCAGGAAAGAATAGACAAAAACAAACAAACCAAAACCCAAATTGGTATAATTTAGCAGAAAATACCTACTTTGTGAATCCAGAGCAATCAAGAATTTTACCCCCATATCACTGATAAAATAGAAAGTAACAAATCTTAATTTATGAACTGGCCAGTAAGACAGACACAAAGAATCTTTTCTCAGCTCATAAAGGAAACCAAGTTCAAGAAAACAACAAGTGCACTGTGACTAGGGACACAGATCAGCTCTGATATACCACTTTACATCCTTATTCGATATTTGATAAACACTAGTTAATCCAATCTCTCAAGTGTTTCAAGTGAATTAAATAGATTTTTACAAATTTTATAAAGAAGCAAGCACTCTTATGCTACAACATAGAAAAGGTGATACCAATGCCCAACGCCATAAAAAAGGCAGCCATCTCTGCCTCCCTCCTCTCCTCTCCTCGTTGCCCCTCCCCAGGGTCTCACTCTATAGCCTCTAGTTGGCCTGAAACTCATGTACCTGTGGCTTGAGGTACTCTTGTCTCAAGCCTCCCAAGAGTTAGAATTATAGGTGTGAGCCGCCATGGCCTTCTCTGGTCCCATGCATCTCAGGATGGTTTCAAACTTGCTGTACAGCTGAAAATGGCCTAGTGTTTGTAATCCTCCTGCCTCTACCTCCAATGCAAAGATTACAGGCAAACACTGCATAGGTGAGTGACACCCCCAGCCCCCTCTTTGGATTCTTAAATTCTTTTTCTATATCACACATGCTTAATAATTCAATATAATTAATATAAACAACCTAAGAACAGAAGAGCTTTAGTTACCTGGAGTAGTTTTATCCACTGAATTGTAATCTTCAACTACAGAGTCCTCAATGACATCACTAATTTTCTGCCATGGCTCCAGTTCCTCTTCCTCACATTCCATAAACAGGTCGGTGTCCGCCATGCTACAAGAAAAAAAACCAAAAAAAACAATAGTAAGATATTGATCTATAACTGGATAGTTTTATACCAAGTGTGAAATATTTATTTGAAAAAAAGGTATACTATAAAATAGGCTAGCCTGGCACTTACTAAGTTGCCTACACTGGTCCTCAACTAAGGGCAATCAACTGCTGGAACAGTGTGAGCCACCATCTACAGCTGCAATCATGCTCATGACTTGATTAGTAACCTACCCTCTCTAGGTTATCATTGGATCAGTGACAATTTTTATCCTTGAGTATCAGAATCCTTTCTACATCAAATCCTTCAATAACTGGGCTTATAAAAGTTAAAGGTATAATACCATAGGAGCCAGGGTGAGGTAAGTGCAGTGGGACTGCAGGACAGGGTGAGGTAAGTGCAGTGGCATTGCAGGACAGAGTGAGGTCTTTTTTATTATTACAGTATTTATTTAGTCTGTATATGTATGCAGGTATGTATGCCACAGCACACCTGTGGACATTAGAGGACTACTTTCAGAAACTGATTCTCCTCTACCACGTGGGTCCCAGAAATTAACTCAGTTGTCAGGCCTGGCAGCAGGCACTTTTATCTGCTGAGCCATCAGGTCAAGCCAGTCTCCTTGCCACACACACTTTGAGACAGGATCTCACTATGTAGCTCTAATTGGCCTTGAACTGTAGAAAAGGCAGAGCACAAGCAAGTAGGTGAGCATGTATTCATGCATTTCTCTTCTGTTCCTGACTATGCACATGATGTGACTAGCTGTTTAAGTTACTGCCTTGACTTCCCTACAATAATGATATGCTATAACCTGGAAATGAAGTGTAGGCTGAAATAAACCCTTCCTACCTAAACTGCTTTTTAAAAAGATTTACTTTGGCTGATCAGTGGTTGCACACGCCTTTAATTCCAGCACTTAGAAGGCCGAGGCAAAAAAAAGGCAAGGCAGGTGGATCTCTGTGAATCCGAGGCCAGCCTGGTCTGACATAGCTACTTCCAAGACAGCTAGGGCTGTTACACAGAGAAAATCTAATGTTCAAAAAAAAAAAAAGATTTCCTTGTATGTATGAGTGCTTTTGTCTGCATGAGCACCCATGTTTGTCTGGTGCCCAGAGGTCAGAAGTGAAAAGTAGATTCCCTGGAACTGGAGTTAAGGATGACTGAACCACCGTCTGAGTGCTGGGAACCAACCCCAAGTCTGCTGCAACAGCAGCAAGTACAGTGGCAAAAGCCTTTAATCCCAGCACCTGGGAGACAGAGGCCAGCTTGGTCTACAAAGCTAGCTCCGGGACAGTCAGAACCATTACACAGAGAACTCCTGTCTCAAAATAATCCAAAGAGCAAGCTGGGCGTTGGTGGCTCACGCCTTTAATCCCAGCACTTGGAAGGCAGAGGCAGGAAGATCTCTGTGAGTTCAGAGGCCACCCTGGTCTACAGAGCTAGTTCCAGGACAGCTTCCAAAGCTACACAGAGAAACCCTGTCTCAAAACAAAAACAAAAGATGCAAAGAGCAGCAAGTGCTCTAACCAGTGAGCATCTCTGCAGTCCCTAAGGTGCTTTATGTCTGGATACATTTATCGTAACAGCAGAAAAGAAGCTATGACTGTGGCTACTGACATTTTGCACCTAAGGTAAGAACCCCATTTGTCATACTCTACTCCTGTCTAGGAATTCTGCAAACTATTTCTAAGACCCTGGAGTCTACTTTTAATTTTCAAACACTGCCTACATTATGCCTCTTTCAGAGACAGTTTTTCAATTCTGTGCTACAAAGAACTGCTGCTGTTGTGCCTTCCAGTATGAGTTGAGAAGGGATCAGTTTCTTTGTCTTGAAACGAAACTAATACTTTCTTCAATGCTCACTCAAAATCTTCATTGCAAAGGTTATCAGTGTCCTTAGCATCTTTCTGTAACAAATCCACAAGCCTGCAAAAGCAACACAGAAGCAGCTGACCAAACCATCCTGTGATCAATGTGTAAACCTGGCAGCCATTTCTTTGGGCAATGCCCAATAGATGGTGCTGTCTCCTTTGAAAATGTAAACCATCTCACAATGTCTCAATGAGTGAGGGACAGTCAGGAGCCCAGTGTGGAAACCTGTTTTAACTAGTGAAGTGCTTAACTTGATTCTAGGGGGCCTCTAACCATCTGTGCCAACACAATTAAAACCTTCAAAATGTAAAGAAAATTCAAGTTAACAAATAAGTTTCTTTCCTTCCTTTCTTATGCAGAAGAAACATAGAATTGATTAGTAAGTCTGTTCAACCCAGTTAGCAGTAACTGCTGACTGAAAGCATATTTTATACTTATCCCAAAATACAACTGAAAGACAGTGAGTCCAAGATTTTCAAAATACGCAGTCCTTGATTCTGACCTAGACTGGCAGCTCAGTATGTGACCAATCTTTCATTTCAGCACCCATGTTGTTTAGGGGAAAAGAGAGACTGCAGAAGGCACCAACCTAAATTAAATATTTGCTGAACCTTAAAATTAGCATCCCTCCTGGAGCATCCCAGTTCACCTTCAGGACTAGGATGGTAACTAAGGAAGGAGGTCAGCAGTGAGGAGGGGAAACAAGAAGGATCCCAGGGACTCTGGGGCCCTGTAAACCTAGCCTTGAGGGTGTGGATCCTAAGCCAGTGAGAGGCCTCGTCTAAAAATATCAGGCAGATGGGCTGATGAGGTGGTCAGTGTTAAGAATGCAGAATGCTCCCACAGAGCACTAAGTTTTCAGTACCCATGGCAGGTAGTTCACAACCAACTCTAACTCCCTCTCTCTGTGGGCACCAGTACTCATGGGTATATACCTACACACACACACACACAGCTAAATCTTTTTTCTTTTTTTTTAAGATGGAAAAACAGCTAAGGTTGTCCTTCACACACATGCTTATATACAAACAAGCATATCTACACCAAAAAAAATTTCAGCAATAAAATGTTGTATTTAATAAAGATACTAAAAAAATAAGCATTCATTTCAGTGATCCATGGTATATACTTTTGTACTGTTTTTCTTTGTTTTTTATAGAAGGCCTCATCATGCAGTCCTGGCTGCTGTCCTACAACAAACAGGTATATACACGCATAGACCAACCAAGCTAGCCTTGAATTCACAGAGCTCCATCTGACTCTATATCACGAGTGCTGGGATTAAAGGTATATACTACACCTGGCACTATCTTTTATTTAAAAAGAAAGTATTATCAAATATGTAGCATTAAAAAGTACATATATTGCCTGGCAGTGGTGGCCCACGCATCTAATCCCAGCGCTTGGGAGGCAGAGGCAGGTGGGTCTCTGAGTTCAAGGCCAGCCTTATCTACAGTGCATCCAGGGCTACACAGAAAAACAAATATTTATTTGTACATATATAGGTATGTACAGATCATTCCACTTACATTTAAAACCTTTCTACATCAACGTTTTACTGGGGGGGGGTCAGCATAGAGGGAGCATGATTGGGGACGGGGTTTAAGTTGATCAGGCTGCCCTGTATCCACTCTGCAACTCAGGAAATCCTGTGATCCTCCTGCATCAGCCTCCCTACAATCGAAACTGACAGGCTTGGACTTTTCTTTCTTTCTTTCTTTCTTTTTTTCAAAAATGGGTTGTTTTATTAGTTTCCTCAAACTTACTAATAAGCTTGCTCTTGTGCTCAATAAGCTATCATTACAATGCCACAAGCCAAACATAGTTTATGTTCTGATCTATGCAGCTCATCCTACCGTACTCAATGTGCTATTCTGGTCAATAAGAATGTCTTCCTGACTCCTGAGTCCTTCAGAGGAAACTCAGTGCTGCAGGATACAAATCCTTGCTATTTGACAAGATGGTCCAGGCTTATCTCACACATTTCCTGCCCCTGACCTAGAACCAGCCATTTCTCCAAGGAATAATATTGGTGAAGGGCAAAATGCAAGACCATAATCTAGATGCTAGAGGCCTCTCTGCTCATTTTGAAAATAAACTACCCTACTAGCATTAGCTAGCTATCCTCAATTTTGCTTCTATGTCATCTTAAAGAAAACATCTTTGTGTACAATACGCATTCTAGAACCTTAAAAAAAAATCTACTGAAAATCTTATGGGAAAAATGTGCCCTTCTGATGAATAACTTACACTACTCAATAATTATGTAATTGTATATTTCTGTGTATTTGTAGATAATATGTATATGTGTTACCGTTTCAGCTTGAGTATGCATGGGTATCATCCTCAGGGATGTCATCTACCTCCTTCCAGAAAGGGTTTCTCATTGGCCTGGAGATCAACAATTAGGCTAGATTGGCTGGTTGTGGGCCCCGGGGATCCTCCTGTCTCTTTCTGCCTCTTCATCACTATCCTCAGCTTCTGGAGATCTACTGCTCAACCTCAATTTCATTCTTAGACCATCACAATTGTATGTATTCCCTTTTCTTCCCCCAATGAGAGACCTAGACTATTTTCCCTATTGGCGTAATTTATACATACTTAAGAAAATTTAAGCAGCTGGTGATGGTGTGCAGTTGTGGCTTACACCTTTAATCCCAGCACTTGGGGCCAACCTTGCCTACAAACAGTGAGTAGCAGAACAGCTAGGACTACTCAGAGAAACCCTGTCTTGAAAAAAAACAAAACAGGGAACTGGAGAGATGGCTCAGAGGTTAAGAGCACTGGCTACTCTTCCAGAGGTCCTGAGTTCAATTCCCATCAACCACATGATGGCTTACAACCATAATGGTTAAAAGTTGCTCTTCCAGAGGACCCTGGTTCAACTCCCAACACCCACATGGCAGCTCACAACTGTCACGAAGTGTGTCACTTGCTCTAACACCAGCTCTAAAGCAATGCCATGTCTTTGGCCTCCATGGGCACCTGCATTCACATGCACGCACATGCGCACGCGCACACACACACACACACACACACACACACACACAAAAAAACACACACACACACACACGGCTGGAGAGGTAGCTCAGCAGTTAAGCATTTCAGCTGCTCTTACAGGGAACTG